ATACTGTACTATGCTGTTCAATAATACAGTGGTCCCTCGGTTAACGAACACAATTCGTTCCAGAAGGTCGTTCGTTAACCGAAAATTTTGTTAACCGAAACCATTGTTTCAATGGGATTTTGGGTAATTGGTTCCAGCTCACCAAAAATTACATACAAACTAAAAATAAATGCAGTAAAGTACACTTACTATGAGGTGTGCATGTAGAAGGCTCCTGGTTGATGATGATGATGATGATGGGAATTAGAAGTGGGGGTGGAAGGGAAGTCACCCCATGCTTCATGCTGCCATTTCACCCATAAAATTTTAAGTTCACTAGGTGTAATTCAAGATTATTTTCTTTAAATCAACACTGCACTGCATTATATATTGTCATTATGTAAAATAAATTTCAGAATGACCAATAATTGTGTACTGTAAAAACGTAAAAAATAGTTTATGTTCAAGAGAGTCTCAAGCAAGATGCTTCCTCCACTGAGCAGGGACACAAACTGACGCCATTCTGGGTGAGTCAAGTGGCTGTTTGGCGCGCTAAAAACTAGTTCCCTGTACTTCAATTATGTTAAATAATTGTTAAAATGACTAAAAATTTAATATAAGACTTGGAAAATTATTGAATAGTACAACCTTCTTGATATTTACTCAAATGGTAACAAATTTAAGCCTTAAAACCGATTACTGTATTGGCAGACTAATACTACAGCTGGTGAGCAGGCAAAAACATGTAAGGAAAAATTTGTAAGGAATTCGTTAACCAAATTTTTTTTGTTAACCGAATTTAATATTCTTATGGAAGGTAATTCGTTCATCAAAATTTCGTTAACCGAGGCGCTCGTTAACCGTGGGATCACTGTACATCTTTTTAATATTATGCTGATACTGTATTTTAAAACAATCTCATATTTCAGTGTCATAGTAGATGCTTAGGCATTTATCGTATCCACAGAAGGGGATTTATTACATAGTTTACACATGTGATGCTTGCGAGTTTGAACAAGTGAAATATCCTAAAATAAACAAATAAGCACTTATAAAACACTTCACAACATCTTTCATCACTTTTACAGATAGCTCAGACAGTTATCATATCCACAAAAGGTATTATTAAACATTTTACACATATGGGGTTAAAAATTTGAATACTGTAAATAGATGAAATCTTTATAAACACTTTGCAGGTGAATATTACTGCACAATGGACAGTCCAAGTGCATGGGGTGCATAGCAAGATAAATTTTTAATGGGGGAACTCACTCCACCTCTTAGCTTGACTGCTGGGAGAACACTTAACTTTTTATAACGTCACTCTATGGGCAGTTGCCATGTAGCTAATTAGTGATAGATTGCCACGAGAGAGGAGGTCTTCAGGAATGATGCGCCAAAATCTCAAGCGTCAATTGGAATTACTCGATTTTTCATGATTTTTTCTCTTATAAGTGATGCGATTTTCGCATCCGTGCCGATTGGATGATGATATAGTGAACACATGATACACGTCTGGGTGCTTGAGAGTGTTAACCTGTCCATGGTTCCTGTTCTTAAGTTCCTTATTTCTTCTGGGAATATTGAAGTAGATGTTCTTGCTTTGGTCCATGACTAAGAGGCTTACCTTTGGGAAGAAGGATTTTGTGGCATCTTGCACAGGGAAAGCAATTTAGTTGTGTTGCAGTTTGTCGTTTTCTGGTTGGAACAAGACTTAGGTTGAGTAGAGTTCTTGGCAAAGAAAGGACAAGTTTTTCTGTGGGCCTAAAATCATTCACTTTGTGCCTTATAAGCTGAGGAAAATTTTTATCATTCTCTTTGTAAGGTTTTGGCTGTTATTTTTTGTCTTAAAGTTAGAGTTGTGCATAAACAAACATATTGTTGGACCATCGAACTTCCAGAGTCAATTGTCTTTGATAATTGACTCAGTTGATTTGTGCCTCGAGGGGTTATGGGAGTTACAATTATTATTGGTCTTTATGAGACACTAGCCCATTCAGTCCATCAGACAAAGAATCAGCAAGTAAAACATATGCTGAGATCTGCTTAGACTCGGAACTATGTTGATGGACTGTGGGGAAGGGAAGCTCATCAGGTTAGTTACAGGTACTGTCCTTGTTCCCTCCTGTGTACTATTTGGAATGGTTAAGTTCCTTGTACAAACAATAATTATTCTGATCTTCATCCTCCCTACATTATATCTAGTTGGCCTCATGTGCTAGAGTCTTTTAGTGGAAGGCTTTAGGCCATGAATGATGGAATGATACTGATGTCCCATTTTATGGCCAAGTTTAAAGCTAAGTGACTCAGCTATCCTCCCTCCTCTCAGTGGTAGTGTGGAAGTCAGCTGCAACTGAATGGGTTGATGCCTGAAATTACAGTATGGCCTACCTGGCTGACAGGTGAGTTACACACATTTTAGTTTGATGCCAGAACTCATTGCCTTATATTTTAAATAGTGACTGGGGTTTGTGAAGGTGTCTTGGCTGTGATGAGAGGACACCACTAATTATTATATTCCCAGCCAACTATATCCAGAGTTCACCTGTGTTTTCATCATAAGTCTTAATGGATTAATACTTGGGTTGTTTACTTCTTGGTTCAGCCACAAGGTGAGATTATAGGATCAGTGCTATAGTTGTTGTTTAAAGCTGTGTGGACTAATTCTGTTTTTAAGTTATGTTTATTAATTCTTTTTTAAGCTGTATTTATTAATTCTTTGTTTAAACTGTGTTGGTTAAATAAATTTTTTAGCTGTTTTGATTAATTCTTTTTTAAGTTATGTTTATTAATTCTTTTTTAAGCTGTGTTGATTAATTGTATTTTTAAGCTGTGTTGAATAATTTTTTTAAGCTGTGTTGATTAATTATTTTTTTAAGCTGTGTTGATTAATTATTTTTTAAGCTGTGCTGATTAATTGTAAGTAATATCTCCGTTAGCCAGAATCCCTCGAACCCTGAATTCTCCGATAGCCGGAATTGAAATTTTCTCAGAAAATCGTTCCCAATACCGGAATTATCCGGGAAATCCCGACTTTGGGAACTATTTTCTGAGGGGCACATTTTCCGTAAATTTCTGAGAAAATTTTCCCGGTACCCGGAAAATTCTGGGATGGAGGATTTTTTTCCGAGCTTGAGAGATGAAAATCGGGTGCATTTTCCGGAAATTCCAATACAAAATTTTCAGTACCCAGAAAATTTCAGGGATGGGGTATATTTTTCCTGGTTAGAGAGATGATGTAATGGGCATTTTCTGGAACTTCCCAGGAAATTTTTCCGTTACCTGGAAAATTCCGGGGATGAGGAATTTTTTTCCTGCTTTGAGAGAGTCGTCTCGTTACCCAAAAATCTTTCATTCCCGGAGGTACTCTGCACCAATTGTTCCGGCTAATGGAGATATCACTGTATCTTTAAGCTGTATTGGTGAATTTTTTTAAGCTGTGTTGATTAATTCTCTTTTTAAGCTGTATTAATTAATTCTTTTTTTAAGCTTTTGATTAATTCTGTAGTGAAACAAATTGTCACTCACTCAAATTTTTCACACATATACTTATACACTCAAGAGAGGAGGATTGGATTCATTTGTTGGCACAGCTTACCAGTAACTCATCCTTGTTTTCATATATTAATTTTGACATGTCTGTGTCTGCACCTGTAAGATTCCCATTGTCTCAGTTACACCTTGTGGGTCTCAATTAGGAATAAGACCTTTTATATGAATGGCACGAGGGAGGAAGGAATTGTTGAAGAACGTGAAACCTCTACTAACGGACTGCGTGGTGGTAAAAGTCTGCCATATCGAGGGTCCGTTAGATGCGACACATCAATCTAATGAACTATATAGCGATTTAAGTCCATTATATTGAGTGTCCGATATATATGAGTGAAGCCCCCCAGCTATTGGAGCATATGGAGAGAGAAGTCCGTTATGTGGAGGTTTCATTGTAGGTAGTCTCGAGAGTGAGCAAAACACACTCATGGTAATGTTGATGTGAGAGAATAGAACGGAATAGGAAGGGTATAAGGGAATTTGTGTGACAGTAAACAAGAAGTATAAGGGAAGGGGCATGGGTGAATAAGTTCCCATAGTACGTTGGTGGAGTGTAGAATAGGGTTGAAATGTGTTTTGGTAGGTGTTTATACTGCAGGAAATTAGGTAAACAAGCAAGAGGAGTGTAGTATCTTGCGTTATTTAATGGGAGAATGACGAGTCACATGGTCTGTCTGGCTGGTCGTTTATTCTCTGTTCTTGGTTACAACGTGCCTAACACATTTCGTGTTTACACAAGCCTAAACACTTTCTGACTTTGGTAAGAAGTAACATAATATATAATATATATATTCAATAAAGGCAGCATATAAACATACATATATATAACAAGGAGGAGGAATGAGTCGAAGTTTTGGGACTTGTTGAATGAAAGGAATTTATCATGACTCTTTTGCGGAGATGCGCGACATTTCTATAATCCATCGCCTTTGCACGCATTGAATTTGTTTTCGTAATGATTAGTATTATATTTTTGATCATATCAGTATAGTCACAAAACTTTATGCGAGTCTGACTGAGCTTTAAGAGAAAACCTGGACACTATCTGGTGACACAAGGATCTGAGAAGGGTAGACCTCTTGTCTCACCAGAGGGATAACACAGGTGGCGAGGATAACTATGAATCTTTAATAAATGGAGACTGATTATAAACAAAGGCATATGGATTTGTGACAGAAATTTTTGGTATACAAGTTGATGGGTAAACAGTGCGGTACAGTATCTGATAATGAGAATATTGCAGGAACTGGAAATATTGCTGAGGTTTTACTGTGCTGGATTATGTCCATCGCATTATTACACTTATGTTGTGTCTAAAAATTCATGAAATTTTTAGGTTATAAAGAACAACTTATTAGATGTTTATTCATGTATGTGGCAAACTTTTTTTTATATATATGTAACTTGTACAAATATTTCTTATCTACTCAGGCCTGTTACTATTGTACTCTACTTTTCTTTTCTTTTAGGAGAGAATGGTCGCCATCGTAAGTTTTTTCTTGATTTTCGTTGGTGTAGTCTTAGTTTATAGATGTTTGTCTGTCCTGGATCTGGCAAAGAATGAAACCCGAGTCTTTTAGTTTATCCATTTTAAAAGTTCTCATTTAAAATTTGTTGAATTCTTTTTTGTATTGGAATATTGATTTAAAAAAAACTATCTAAAATCAGTACTGTATTTTGATCTAAACTGAGAACATGAATGTGTGATGTATTATAGGAAGTGTCAATGTATGCTGATGTTTGTCAATAATGATTTTTGTTTTATATGAAGGTAAAATATTAGAATATGTCATTGGCTACAGTTATACCTAGTTAATGTGAAGGTGTTGGCCTTGGTCCCTCCCCCTCCCCGAGTGAAGCTCTCTTAAGGCAGAATGGGTCGTCATTCTTGCCATTAATCGTTCTTTTCTTTAGTAGTATGGACAATGCAGCTCCATTTAGGAGTGTTCCACATAGTATCAAATTTTGTAAACTTAAAAAAATTGCTTAATTTTACTTTTCAGAATTTTATTATTCTCCCTTACTTCTGCTTCATGTTTTTTCTGACTGAATATCCACTTCCTTTTCTATGAATACTTCTAGATGCATTACATTTACATAGTGTAAACAACTGACAATTTCTTGATGAAAGAGCTAAGTGATGGTGAAGGATCTTGTCATTAAGTTTGGAGGTGAAATGTCTCTTGGCGTTTGTGTGTTTACCATTGTGTTTGGAGTGCAGGAGAAGTGCACATGATGTTCATTGGTGGAAGGTTTAATATTTAGTAACCTATGTAAGATATGGAATACAGTTCATCTTCAGTTAACTTCCCTTCAGGTTAATTATTGTCATATTTCTTATAGTTTTACCTTCATCAGTGATACATGTAGTGGTAAAGGTCATTATAATCCAAGAGTATATATTTCTTCTCTGTAAAATATTTATAACCATTTATAGTGTTAATATTCATGACACTTGTTATTGACCTCTGTGTTAACCGGCAGCTTTAGTAAGGCCAAGTATCACAGCCAAAGTATCATGTGGAATATTTTGCTATCATTGAATGGCTTAACATTTATTTGGTGCACTTCATTGTTGCTTTAATAAGATCTTGGGAAAACATACCAAATCCTGCTCTTCTGATGTTCACATTGACTATTTCCAGTGTGTAATGATTAACAGTGGCAACAGCAACTTGCAACAACAGTGAACCAGTTAACTTTTATTTACAGCCTTGACTGCTCTCACCTACAATGAATCTATAGTGTTTTTTATATACAATTGATGGTTTTCAGGTAACCAAACACTATAGGATTTCCTTACATGCACTTATACTAATAGCTGTACCATAATTCACGTGAAGTCAACAAAATGGAGGAAATATAACATACTGAACTGATATAAGATTGTCATTCTCGGTGTAAACTTAGTGCAAACAAATTTTTTAACAAAATTATAAAAAAAAAAAAATACAGAGTATTAAAACTGCAAGAAAGTGGAGGAAACTGGCTTTAGAACATACTAGTGCTATGATTTAGCTTTCAGATAAGCCTGCTTGAAACTGTGCTGTTAGTTCACTGTTCCAATATAGAGTACAGTATGTTGTCAGACTTATGACCAAAACCCATTGATGCCAAGTGTTTCCTATTGCCAGAACAAATATGAAGGGTCTTTCTTTCTTTTCTCTCCCTCTCTTATCTCACCCTTCCTCTCCCTCCCTTCTGGTGTTTACATTGGTATAGCTAATCACCACAAGCATTGGGTATTGCTGTTCTCACTACAGGGAGTTCAAGCGCCACCAGAAAGAGGATCTATCGGCCATGAATGACCTCCTAGATATCAATTTTAACCCTCACGGCGGAGTTAATGGTGCCGGGGCACGTTCAGCCTCTACCCCTCCAGAGTCCACCAGTCTTGATCCCTGGGGCATGCCGGCTTCTGCTACTAATGCTTCTCCACAACACGGCACACAACCTAAGGTAAGTTTCTCATAACAACAATATACCTGTACAGTACAGTATATAAATATTTGTTTTTCTCAATTAGTTTCAGTAGGTCAGATTGGAAAGAATTCATTATAGAAACTCCGTACAATTTGTGGTTATTTATGCAGAGGTCATGAAGATTTGGTATGTGGTCTGTCTGTAGTATGAAACCATGGGCATATGCAGGGAGGTGGGGGGAGGGGAGGGCGCTCCTGGAAGATGAGAAACATTTTTTTTTATTCAATCACCTTATGTGTGTTTACAGTATATTTACAAGATTTTTATTCAGTTTACCTGTCACATTATGTATTGACAGGAGGCTTTACTTATAATCTCATGATTTCTAGAGATATTTACACTAGTTGGATACAGAAAAATGTCTTACTCACAAGTTAGGTGCTTATATATGTTACCATGGCAGCTTCTTGGGTATTGACTATGGTAGGTGTCACTCGGGTCAGCAAAAAGACCAACATGGTCTTGCTGACTTTCCCCGAGTCCTGATACAGCGTGATTGGGCTCAAACTACTGCCAGTATCATACATACAAATAATGTTGTCACAAGTCTTGACACAACAAGGTAGTGTCTGGGCAGCCTCTCAGGTCATATATAGTAGACACGTGTCAGTAAGGCAATTCAGCTGAGGGAGAGAGATACTGTGACCTTATGGATGTACTTCATTGGAGGAAAACTTTAGATCATTAGGTAAACACTCAAGCTATTTCTGTAAAAGGTATTGTGCTTTTTAAAATGACACTTTTTTTCTACAATCACCATTGTGTTCAGATGCACATTTAACACTTCTAACCAATAGGTACATATTTCTTCGGTATTTACAAAAAAAAAATTCTGTAGATGCCTAAATTTGAAACCAGTATTACAAAGTACTCTCTATACTCACTAATTGAATATCGTGATGACTCTGGGTTGATTGTATTAGTCCAAAATACACGTACTACCTCACTGTTCTGTAATAAAATAATATTGTGTATACAGTAAGACCCCCTCTAATTTGGACTGTATGGGGCTCAAGGCTGTCCGACTTATGCATGACCTTCTCCCTGGGTTCTTTCAACCTTCATTTTGTTGAAAACTTCTTTCCAGAAACAAAATTAAACTAAACAGTATACAGGACATTTACACTGCACTTACTTATATTGTAGCAGATGAATCTTGATGTGGAGGACGATAGGAGCTGCTTACACTTACAATACTTATACAATATTCACACTTATATTTACTTCCACTTTGTATATAGTTACACTTATATTTAGTATGCACTTAAATCTTCAGTCCAAACTTCTCGTGGAGATCCCATCATCAATTTTGTCTAATATCTTCTGTTTCTCTTCAATTGGTAGTTTTGAGCACCATTCTTTTTCTCCCAGTGATCCTCAATGGTGTTGTTTTGCCTTTACTTTCTGTAAAGGCTATAGTAGTACACCAGGAAGCATTAAATGTGAAAAAATAAATGAATGTATACGGTGAGCAGTGGTCGCAGCAACAAGCATGTGGGAACTGATGCCTTGCCCAGTTGATGCCCCAAGCAACCCCTCTAAGACAGAACTTGTCTGACTTAGGAGGGGTCTTACTGTATAAACTAGTATCTATACATAGTACATACATGTATGCTTAGTATATACATGGGGTCCCAGGATTATGAACAGGTTCCGTTCCTGAGGACGTTCTCAAGTCAGATTTGTATGTAAGTCGGAACACATGCTATATGCAACATGTACTTACAGAACAATGTTTATAATCCCACTATATCATAGCCTAAGTCCTTATATACATCTAATATCACTTAATTTAAAATGAAAGAAGAAATAGAATGACAAAATACATTAAGTAGAAGTAAAAAATTAAGTCATCTGGTAAATAAAATTGTACTGTAAATATCAAGTTTAACCCCGTTCGTATCGCCGGGCGTTCGTAAGTCTGACGTTTGTGAGTCAGGGACCCCCTGTATTTATATACATGTATCGCTTGTTATCCACGCACCAAAGGTTCCAGAAACAACAAGTCTAGCATCATAAAATTCACCAATACCATTTTGGTCTCCATTAAACTACTCTGAATTATCTATCTTCAATAAATGTCTAAATAAAATATTAATATATAATAATCATCATAACACAAAAGATCAAATAAACAAATACAAATAATTACAGAATACAGTAGAGTACAGTACAGTAATAAATTAAAATTTATGTGTACAAGTGAATGAATTTTGTAAATTTACAATGATTGTGATGATAAGTGGAGGACACAGTACGTACAGTACAGTATAGTCAGCCAATTACTGTCCTCATATCTGAGGGTTGGTGACCACAGTCCTCCACACAATAATTTATTCTATGCAAACTATCAAAGATTATTGATGTAATGGTTATGCTTAGTGAAATATTGAAGGTTCTTAAAAAAATATATAAAAGTTTTTCAAATACGCATATACTGTGCTGTATTAAAATATATAGGAAAATATTAAAGTTGTACTCATTCAACTGTAAGCTTCTAGATGCATAGAAAAGCTTGTAATCGACCCAAATTATTCGTGCTCCACGAGGCACACCTTGTATCACGAAACAGCAAAGGTGTCATGTCTTGTGAACTACAGCTAAATGACAGAAACGTGGTGAAGGAACAACAGTGAGGGAGAGTAATACACACACTTCTTAACATTAAACAGTATATTTTTAACTACTATAACTACTATTCTTTTGTGCATTTTTACAGTTATTGTTTATTGTTTTGAGTGATAAAAATGGGTGTACAGTCGGTGGTAGCTGTGATGTGGTGGTGGTCAGTTGGGTTGGTCCTAACTTGAAGGTTATACACATATCTTGCATTTGCATTATCCACGGTATTTCATATACCCTGTAGTGTAAATACTTTGTATGCTGTTCCTAAATTTTATTTCATTTAACCATCACTTGACATATTTGGAAACAAATTCTGTTTTAAATTTGTCATTCCAAACTAATGTTGTTTTTTAATAATAATAATAAAAAATGTGCTGCCATAATTGCTTTGAGCAGCTTCTTTCGTCTGCCATATACAGTATGGCAATTATTAAATTCTATTTATTTAGTAAATATTGTAATAATAATAATAATAATTAACGGTTTATTGAAAGAGCTTGGCAGCCAGAAGGCTGAAAATATACAGTTACATATTTGGGGAATGGGTTTTGAATTACAAATAATATACAAGTAACATAAGTGATACAAATAAGATATATAATAACTAGATGGGGAAAAGCTCAAACTACAGTGCATTTCAACATAGTGACAATGCAAGGAGTAGTGTTTACTGGGAATGAATACACTGGTTTATTACAAGTTATTGATAATTTTTACAATGGTTGGGACTGGGCTGTTCTTATAGCGATCAGTTCGTGCACGTATGGGCTGGATGCGGTTGTGGTGTCGAACAGTAATTCTCGGGCTAGGGATCTCATCTCTGTGGTAACCCAGTAACTTATGTTGGTGGGTAACTGTTGACACCTGGAAGGGCCATCCTTACTGAAATGGTTGCTGGTGAAGCTCCAGACACAGAGTTACCACAAGGTCCTGGGCCCCAGTACGGGTCTTTAGCCTCATCCACCAGAGGGGTGTCCTTTTAGGACTACCCTGAATTGGAAAGTTGAGTATCTGGGTCAGGGAATCTTTGGGTCTGGGGTCTTTGCACCATCAAGGACAAACTCTCAGATCACTGGGTTTACCTATGAAGTGATCTCCCAGGGGACGAGGTATCTCTTCCTCGGTGACTTAGTCCTGTTTGTCTCTTGGTAGGTGAAGGTACACGATACCTGGGTTCTGTTTTATTTATTTAACTTAGCACATCGGTAAAATGAAATCATTATTATTGGCTCGTTTGGTGACAGGCTAGGTCCTCTTTTGGCAGACTTGGCTTGTTGAACCTTTCTGGGAACGACATGACATGCCCACTTCCAACAATGCAGTGGTCCCATTAAGGGCTACTGCTACAGGCGGGTCTGTGTCAAAGATTAAAGTAATGCTGGGGTAGTTGGAGTTCTCGTTTGTTTAATACATTCCAGTACTGTATTAATCAGGTCACTATAGGAAAATTCTCAACTTGTTGTATCCTAAGGCATATCAGTATTTAAGTAGCTACTGTATTATCATTTTGGGAATATATAGTTGCATTTGAAAAAGACACAGTACAGACAGATATTAATTTATGAGAGGGATATGTTACTGAAAAACCTCTTAATAGGGGTTTGCCTGTATTATATATCTCTCACAGTTGTGGGTGCTTGGGAAAATTTCTTTATTACAGGGACATTATCAACGTAGTTGTACAGGTTGTACCTCTCTAGTCCGGCATTCTGTGGTCCGGAACGATTTTAGTTTGTCCAATAGGTAGATAGGCAGCTTTTTTTCTTTTCTTTTTTTTTACTTATCTGAATTATTATTATTATTACAGGATCATTAAATTTTTGCCCCTCAGGCCCTAATGTGGGTCAGTGACCTATTCCCGGGTGGGCTAATCCCCTTAATAAAAATAAAAAGTCGCAGGAAATTAAGGTTTGTTTACATCCGGCAGTTCGGCTGCTCTCTCTCTCTCTCTCTCTCTGCTAGTCTATACAGAGTACAACATTTAACCCTTCAATATATATGAGCAGTAAATAAGTATTGCTTTCATATTCTTATGTAGAGTAATGACGATATATTTTCACATGTGCGCACTTACATACGAGCAGTCTCACTTTTTTTTTTACCATTAATGGTTAGCTACTTATATTGTTCCATTTATTAACATTAAATAACATTACAGGTACTTCAAACAACCATATTAATTTTTTTACATTAATTTTACTACAGCTAAAATCAGGGCCTTATTTTCTTTAGTTTTATATGTAGAACCAATCAGTCACTGGTTTTGTAAGCTTTAACATAAACAATGCCGGCAGCCTTCTCGTCTCCTCTAATATTCCACGTATTATTAATAAATTGTATTGTTCATTTTG